TTATTTGTTAACTTGTGTTAAACCGTTCAGCAGAAGWAACCATAAGTGAGAGTSGTAGGTCTAGTCATTAATAAGTCCTGTGAGTTTCACATTGTCAGTGTTGTTCATGAAGAAGAATCCAATAAAGGTTCTTCAAAACTGCCACCTGTGGTGAAGTCTTGAACTATAACAAGAGCTACACCTCTCTCTGTAGCTGTGAGGTGTCATGCTACGATATTGTGCTTGATGCATGTGCACTGTTAAAGAACTTGTAAGATTTACTTGAAAAGATCCTCGTAACAATTTGCACTGTTTAAGTAAATTTAAGTGCTACAAATTCATGTAATATTTGCTCATCATTATCTAGTAAAAGTTATTAAGAATATAGTTAAATATTTGTGAATAAATCAGGTAAATTTTACGTAATTTGATCAAGTATGTGTTACAAGATTTAGTTGATCAAATTACGTAAAATTTACCTGATTTATTCACAAATATTTAACTATACTTTTATTAGATAATGATGAGTAAATATTACATAAATTTGTAGCATTTACATTTACTTAACAAACGTTAGTGCAAATTGTTACGAGGATTTTTTCTAGTAAATCTTACAAGTTATTTTTCAGTGTATCTCTAATCTAATCCAGGGTGTCTTTTTGCTCTTTTTTTCCTTGTTATGTTTAGGTTTTTCATCCATTGTGCAAAATATTTGAGTCAGCTTTACAGTGCCACATACAGACCAGGCATTTTCCAAACATTTTGAGTCACCAACTAGTCTTCTAATAATCAGTGAGACACTACCTTTTTGCTGTGAACTACAGTGTCCTCCCAACATCTACTGAAAGTTTATGTTGTCTCACCAAACAACTATGAATCATTCAACTCTCCTTCTTTCATCTGTATAAAGTATATTTAAAACCAGGCAGTTGCGCTCCATCTGTGTGAATCAGCACAGTGCGTATGCAAACAAATTATATAAGTTACATAAACAAATTATTTTTAGCAGTCCAACTTCATTCTCATCTTTTTTTAATCATGTAAGAATGTTTGGTTATCTTTGATGCCTGTATTTCACCACAGAGATATTTGAATGATTATAGGTGATGTGGAGGACATTGGTGGTCTCGTATAATAATTAAACCTTARTACAATCATTGACCATATCATTGACCTAACAAGCATTATTAGGCAAATAATATGCCATAAATTTAGATGATTAATTTCCTTGCACAGACCTTTGAATACATCATGCCTATGCTGTATTTACACAGGTTGAAGGGATGACAGAAAAGTGAATACCTCACACAGCTATGAGTAGAACACCACAGCTGCTCCAGTAGTTCAGACACCAGATACATTTCACTTGACCCTGTCGTTGGATTTGAGAACTTTTTATGATGATGTTTTCAGCCAAAGCGGTATTCAAACTTCTTTTGCAGCAACACCAAAGTGAATGAAGCTCCAGATGAACATTTGCATTCACACAAAGGTCATAGAGTTTTGAAGGCTTACTAGAACTCGAAAACATGAGTTATTTTTTGGTGAGATGAGACTCTTTTTACAATATTGGACTTTTTAGAGGGTGGACGAGAGTGCAAATGTTACGATGGAAATTCTGGCACGGTCTTTTTCCTACGGCATCCTGTTCTGCCGTTTAGACTGTGGTCTACTCATATTGCACCACAACTTAGACAAATACCATTAGCTATATCAGATGTCAGAAATAAACTTTTATGATGAAATATAAAACAGGATAAAAATAAAGGTCAAAAGAACTGGATTATTTAAGCCAATGTTTTACTTTGTTAACCAGTTCTCACATTCACGTAACATTCAAGGTAGAAGAAGAGGAAGTCATTAGGGGGTGCTTATGCATTAATGGTCATGGTAACATGTTGAATTACAAATAAGACCCATCACATCGAACTGAGGAATAGGTCGCAAGTAGGGATGGGTACTGCATTCAATACTTTTTTAAGTTCCGACCTAATTCTGTCGGAACTACCAAGAACCTGTTCATGTAACTTCAAACAGTACTATGTTTCGGTACCTAAATGCATCATTGCGACCATATTGGCGTAAGAGTGGGAGATTTTCCATGCTTGTCCAGAACGCAGCATCGCTCAAGAGYGTAATGACATCAGCAACCGCTGGTTCAGTAGAGTTCGGCGTAGCTTGAAAGCATCGCAGCTCCTGGAGTGAAACTCACAGAACAGACCGCCTCTGAATTATCTGGTGGATTAATTATCTTGTGAGCACGACGTTCGCTTGCTCAAAGTAAATAATGTACCACCACTTTCTTTATTTCATCCGCCATTAAACAGAGACCGGCAGAGGAAAACAACAGAGATGCTTCCTGACAGTCCATTATTTAAATTTAAAGGAAATATAGATATTCCCGAAAAAACAACAACAAAAACAACAACAATATATTAACTATCACAGAATTGAAAATGGAAAACAAGATATTATTTTAAGTGATCTGGAGTTGGGTGAGAGGTTGGACACGTGTGTTTTAGATGGGATTGTATTACTTTATAATAGTAATGCAGTATAATGCACCTTTTGAGCTTAGATGAACCAGTGTTCATCACAGCATAGCAGTGTGCCATCCATCCATCCATCCATTTATCCATTCACAGATAAAAGTCCCACTATACTGCAAAGTCTTGGCAGAGAAATTCTCTCCTTACAAAACCTTGGTTGAAGACTGTGGGGAGTTCTCATGCTGACACATTACTTTGTCTCACTACAGGACTAGCACCTGCAAAAAGATTGATAAAACTCATGGATAACTTGCATGTTTGGAGAGAAAAAAATGTTGAAAGACATATAGAAGTAATATGTTGGGTGAGAGCTGTTGTTAATAGATGAAACGAAGAAGAGATAAATTAAAAGGTTAAGGAAATTGAAAGAGAAGGGAGATGGTTTGTTCTGGGTTGGTAACTGTCTATAATATTTGCTTTCTGTTAAATCTACAGTGTTTTTTTCAGCTGCAGACCTGCTCAAGAAGGAGAATTCCAGTGGTGTTAATATCCTCGAACCAAATGATCTGTGAAGAATTGTCGTAATCTCTCTCGACCTTTTCTCACTTAACTTGCTTTTACTTTTTTCCCCTTGTCTATCCTTTCATTGGTTCCTACTCACCTATCCAAATTAGAAAAGTGCTTTAAGAGGATATTAGGCTCATATTTGTGCAGCACTTTTAAAGCTTAGTAGTCCAGTGTAGGTGACACAGTAAGGATTTCCTGTTAGGCCCCTTTGCTGCATTCTTGCTAAATTGCTGCTTGTTAGGTAAAGCTGAAGTGTAGGAGGTCSGTCTTTCTCCCTGTCAAACACACACATATATGGTGTAGCAAATACATACAACATGAACATCAGCACACAATGATGTGCACACACACTGTGGACACACAAGGGATTAGTGATATCACAACTGTGTGTGTATGTGTGCAAATGTGAACAGTGAAGGACAGAGGCATTCTCAGTTTTAGAGTTTGGTTATCTGCCAGAGAAGCAATATGAGATAAATACTTTGCCATCTTACACCTAGAGCTCTTGGCTTGTTTCTAATGCTGTGACATTAGATAATCCTCTGATGGTCTCAGAACTGCACACTGCACTCTAATTTTACACGTACAGAAACACACAAACACATAAGACATTGACCAGCTTCCACAATAGTGTTTTAATATACTGTTTCATCAGATTTATCCATTTTCAGCTACCTCTTGGTCAACGCTTTTGTAGCCCTACCTACATTGATCTTTTCTAAGAGTAATGAGCTCCTAATTTTAACTCTGGTTCAAGTATCTGGGTGTCTTATTTATGACTGATGGTAGAATAGAGCAAGAGATGGACTGACGAGTTGGGGCCTAATCCTCAGTAATCAAGGCATTGCTTCGATTGATCGTAAGGAGTTGAGTCCAAAAGCAAAGCGCTTGATTTACTAGTCTGTCTGTGTTCCAACACTCATCTGGGGTCATGAGGTTTGGATCACGATAAAAAAATACAATATTCTGAAATTCTTAATTTGGTTCTAATGGCTAGTAAGAGTGAGCTCAATATCTCATATTCACCAAGTGCTTTTTTCAAATAGGTTGTTAGAAACACCTACATACAGTGCACACACCCACACCCACAAATATCCTCTTTCATACCCTAGAGAGAGTTGGCATTAAGTTAACAACAAAGGGCATAAAAGTATTTTCCAAGTAAAACAAAAGTTTTAGTCATGACCAGATTTTCATTCTATTTTCCTACCATGCACTTTCCCATGATACCCCTGTTGTGGCACTTACAGCTCCAGCCTGGCAATTGGGAACAAGGTGTCATTGGACATTTTTATTATGACTGCATTTCTTTTCCTGTTATTTTATTTGCTCATTATTACATGAATGATTGCCTGGTGGAAAAGTAATTGTAGGGCTTTTAACCCTCTTGATTATGCACCATCTGCTTAAACAGCTTCTTCTTCACTGCCTCTTAAAACGTTTGAGAGATGAGCTGGAGAGCAGAAGAGTCTGTTCCTCTGCTTTTTGCACTGTTTACATTGTGTCTTAGTAACCCTTTTTAAAATAATTACCAAGCTTGGTATTTATGAAGCCAATCAGCCAGGTCACTGTGTGTGTACAGTATGTATGGGTCAATTCAGCTGGTGCAGCAAAACACAGATGCCCAAAATGAGTTTTGCAGTAAGCTTAGACATCTCTTGTCTTATAGTTAGACAGAAAACCCAAAGAGAGAAAAGTAACTGTCCTGCTGCATATCTGGCAGCAAATGATGGTAGTGACTTTAGGTTCCTTTCATTTTACTTACACTTTTATATCATCACTCTGTAGTGGTCTAGGTCATGGACATGAGGCCATAACAAACTTTGACTACTTTCAAAATGAGTGAGTTTAAATATGTCACTTGTGGTGGTGAATGTTATAGGTCAGCCCTCTGACTGAGTGGCTGTTGTGCATCCTATCTCTTTGCATTTCATCTCATGAGCTCCATGTTCTGATCGATTTTAGGTTGATGCTCTGCGAGTGCGTCTGGAAGAGAAGGAACAGATCTTGACCAAGAAGACCAAACAGCTGCAGGACTTGGGTGATGAAAAAAGCACGCTAACAGGAGAAATCCGAGACATGAAGGACATGCTGGATGTCAAGGAAAGAAAAGTCAATGTCCTGCAGAAAAAGGTACAGAATTCAAGCTAGTTTTAACATTGTACAACTTCCACCAAAGGGTTTGGTATGCAAATAATAAAACAATCGCATTGGAAAAAGTTAATGCATGGCAAAACTAAAATATGTATTCACTTTTCTTTCCAATCTAAAAAAACACGTAAAAGTTTGTTGTAACAAAATTTGCTGTCAATGAATCTTATACCAGGCACCTGATTGGCAGCACCTGGGGGTACCAGAAGCTCAAAACAAATGAAGATTGGGCAAATTTTTCATGTGCACAGCCCACTCAGTTCTACTGCTCATCCCACATAATGCATGCTCCTTACAAATGTGGGACTATTTAAAAGGGAAATTAGCAGACTCTCCAACAATTTAAAAATTAATACCAAGAAGCACTGTTGCAACAAAGAATTATCTACAAAACACAAATATCCTTACTTTTTGGGCTAAGTTTGTTTAGACGACCTTCAGACCCAGACTTCACTTAAAACTAGAGAACTGTCATCTCAGTGTGATTTGCTTGGTTGAATAAAAGTTAAATAAAATGTTGATGCTGTGACAGTTGTCAGTCTCTCCCCTGTTCCTGGTTGCCTGACAGTTGGCTGACACAGATGCACACTCTCAGTGATGAAATCAACATTTTTTTTCAAGTTGTCCAAGAAGCTCCTGTTTTTGAAGTCCTCCTGAGATCATTGAGAAATCTTGTGTTTGTTCTACTTAGGTCGGCGTCACATTACAAGATAATCATGCCGATTTTTGCCCTTCTGACAATCTTAAGGAAGTCCAGATTATCGTGATGGCTCTAAAGATAATCATAGCAGATATTCCCGCCATGGGTGGTGAGTTAAGAGTGATCTAGTTGGCTCGGAAGGACGTTGGGACCGCCCCGACCTCAAATCGGCTATATTCAACATGTTTGATTTTTTTGGCCCGATATCACTGTGTGTGTAGTGTTCAACCAAGCTCTCAGCCTGTGAATGAGACGTGTAGCCAATCAGAAAGTGAGGTGATGTAAACACGGAGGGGATTCCAAAATACAGAAGACAAAAAAACTGTCATGACTCACCAGAAAGTCTGCTGGATGTTAAAACTCCTATGGAATTGTTTTTCCTCTGGCAAAAATAGTCCACAAACGATCAACATTGTTTCTTCCTTGTTGCAAATGTTTATTTACTCTGAACTCACGTCTCTCTGGAGGTCATGTGAGATTTTTCCTCGAACATCTGAATTCTCGCGATATTTCAGGAAGTCTTGCGTGATTTAAAAACTGACATCTGAATGTTCATGAAGGAAATATCTTTTCGTGTGTGGTGTGCTGTCTCTTGCCGTGTGGCTGTACACTACACACTGTAGGACCAAACCTGGTACTGTATATCCATGATTTTTTATCCTCACTTGTGGACACTCTCAGTCTTTGAAAATAGGCCGACTGGTTTAAAATCTTGTAGTGCGACTCAGCCTTTACCTGCTGCCATGCCCTGCCTGCCTTACCTGCCAAATCCTCCCCTGGGCCCATACTCACCTGCTTCCTTGCCTCGCCTGAAAACCTACTTACCTGCTGGATACTCGGAAGAAAGCTCTGCAGTTACTTACCTGTTGTACCACACTGATCACTCTTCAGGAAGAAGTAGACCTATGAACAATCTCTCTGAAAACACTCAAGAAACTCTCCAGGAAACCAACTAACCACTATTCTGAATCTAGGTCCAGAGGTTCTCATTTCCATGAACACTGTAAATAAACTCACTTACTGTTATTTTGCCTAATGTGTGTTTTGTTCCTGCCTTACGGTGATATCAGCCTAGAACTCTGATAGATGCACACTACAACATTTGGGAAGCATGCTGCTAATGAATCTTATGCTGCATTCATACCGAACACAATTTCAGCATCAGGAGTGTCAGGTTTACATGCAAAGCCTATGGTAGACGTGCATCAAGCAGCGTCGGGAAGAGCTGCAGCGCGTCTAGTGCGATTAGAGCGGCGCAATTTGAATGATTTCAGCGATTTGAGCATTCGACGCTCTTGAAGCATGATTCGTGCGTCAAGCGCGCTGAACGCTAAAATTGGAAAATGTTACTATGGTGGCGCTGGAGACGGCAGCAGCTGGCTACCTCTCCTGCTAACGTGCAGTTTTTCTTTCTTTTTATTATTATTTTTTCTTTTTTGTTTAATATTTGCGTTTTATTGCATGTGTTTTACGCACTATCTGTCCAAGATGGGCAAATATAGCATAGTCTATGACAGAAAAACACTGCTAGATATTGGTAAGCGCTGTATAAATGTACCTTTCAGCCTACCAGTTGCCGACTTCACGCTGGATATTCTCCGACCCAGAACACCACAAGCTAAGGCGGAGCCGTATCTGACCGGAAGACGCAGACGATGGGCATGCGAACATAAACAGAAGCGGGGTAAGCGAGCGGGTGTCCGAGGGCGGCTAGCGAAGCTAGCTAGGATACCACTCCCCACGCTGCTGCTCGCTAATGTCCGATCTCTGGATAATGAAATGGACGAACTAAGACTCAGGCTCATTTCAGATCGCCAAACAAGGAACTGCTGTGTTTTCATTTCCACAGAATCTTGGCTCCATAATTGCATACCGGACTCTGCTATCAGGCTACAGGGGCTAACAGCGCACCGCACGGACCGCACTGACGCATCACTCAAAACAAAGGSTGGAGGACTGTGTGTGTTTGTAAACGATCGGTGGTGCACCAACTCAGCTGTTGTCGAGCGATTCTGCTCCCCTGACTTGGAAWACATGGTGGTGAGATGCCGGCCCTTCTACCTCCCCCGGGAATTCACCATAATCCAGATATGGGCTGTCTATATTCCTCCACATAGTGACGCTAAGCTGGCGCTAGCAAACAACAGTCTTGTCACCCAGAGGCTGCGCTCATTGTTGCAGGTGATTTCAATCAGACTGACCTCAGAACTGTCTGCTCCAGGCTTCACCAGCACGTATCATACCCAACACGAGGAGAAAACACACTGGATCACGTCTACATCAACATCCAGAAGGCGTACAGCACCACCCCTCTGCCTCCATTTGGTAAGAGTGACCACATTTCACTCCTCATGAAACCCACATACGAACAGCTGCTAAAGAGGGTTAAAGCAAGTGTGAGGTCTGTACGTGTGTGGCCAGAAGGGGCTGAATCAGCTCTGCAGGACTGCTTTGAGTGTACTGACTGGGGTGTGTTTAAAACAGCAGCCACCAGTGACCTGCTTGTTGATGTAAATAAATATGCATCATCTGTCAATGGGTTCATCAAGAAGTGTGTGGATGATGTGACTGAAATAAAGCATATTCTCACACTCCCAAACCAAAAGCCGTGGATGAACAGTGAAGTTCGTAGCCTGCTAAAGACTCGAGATGCTGCCTTTAGATCTGGCAACAGTGAAGAACTTAAAGTTGCCAGACAAAATCTGAATGTTGGCACTAGAGCTGCTAAACACACCTACAGCACACAAATTGCAGCCTACTTCAACTCCAGCTCAGACCCCAGACGTATGTGGCAAGGAATCCAAACTGTCACTGACTATAAAAGTAAAGCCAACAGCACCACATGCACAGACTCCTTCCTCCCTGCTGAGCTGAACACCTTCTATGCTCGCTTTGAGGACACTGCTCAGGCACAGCTGACCACCACTGCTCTGCCCTCCTCCACCACAGACGAGTCACTCATATTGGCTACTGAAGAGGTGAGGAGAGCTCTGATGCGAGTACCAGCCCGGAAAGCAGCCGGCCCAGACGGAATCCCAGGCAGAATCTTAAAAGCGTATGCCAACCAACTCGCGGCCCCCTTTACGGACATCTACAACGCCTCTCTGGCACAGTCCACTGTTCCGGCCTGCTTCAAAGCCACTACAGTTATCCCTATCCCAAAGAAGACCACCATCTCCTGCCTGAATGACTACCGTCCCATCGCTCTCACACCTATTGCGATGAAGTGCTTTGAGAGGCTGATCCTGGGTCACATTAAGAACAGCCTTCCTGGCACTCTGGATCCACATCAGTTTGCCTACTGGACAAACAGATCTAAAGATGATGCAGTCGCCCTGGCATTGCACACAGCACTCAACCATCTGGAAGGAACAAACACATACGTCAGAATGCTGTTTGTTGATTTTAGCTCCACATTTAACACCTTAATCCCATCCTGATTGGTATCCAAGCTCAACACCCTTGGAATCAGTAACTCACTCTGTAGCTGGATTTTGGACTTCCTCACTGGCAGACCACAGTCAGTCAGAATGGGTGACCACACCTCCCCCACCCTCACACTCAGCACCGGCTGCCCACAAGGCTGTGTGTTCTCACCCCTGCTCTTCACCCTGTACACCCATGACTGCCTCGCTAAACACAGCACCAACACCATCATCAAGTTTGCTGATGACACTACAGTCATTGGCAATATCTCTAATATCTCTAATGATGACGAGGGGGCGTACAGGGAGGAAGTGAAGCTCCTGGCAGAGTGGTGCACCACCAACAACCTCTCCCTCAACACCAGCAAAACCAAGGAGCTGATTGTAGATTTCAGGCAAGGGAGTAGAGCGCACAAACCCCTGAGTATTGTATTATTGTATTATAGTTCTGAAAGTGAGCCTCGTTAGCTCGCAGCTCCTGGGTGATAAAACTCACCAAACTCAGAATGCCTCTGAATTATCTGGTGAATTAATTATNCCTCTGACCCCACCCACCCCAGCCACTTCCTGTTTCAACCCCTGCCATCTGGAAGAAGGTACAGGATCATCAGAGCCAGAACCACCAGACTCAAGAACAGCTTCTTTCCCCCGTGCTGTTAAACTGGTGACCCCAGCCACTCCAGCCACAACCTGAAAAATCATAGACTGTCCGTTGTCCACATCTAGTTCACATCATACACATGATTGTGTATTTAATGTTTGTGTTTAATGTTTATGCACGTTATGTCTTGTCTTGTCTGCACTATGTCCCTTGTTACTGCACTGGAGATCTAGCTTAAAAGCATTTCGTTGCACTG